AAAGAGGTTGCAATAAAACAAGCTTCTCAGAGCTCGCCCCTAGAAGATACAAATTAAGACAATTAGCTCCTAGAAATGTTGACTACATTTCATCATATTCCTTCCATTTTTAAATGAGTCCATACACGGCCCTGCGAATGAATGGCTGAATGAAGGCATGACTGGTTGGTCTTTGTTTGTCTTGGTGGCAAGTCCCCAGCACCACCTCTTATCTGCTCCTGGAAGATCCTGAGGAGCAATTATCCCTTGCACTGACATAGTCATTGGCAACTCCAAAGCCCTTTCCTTTTCAGTTCACCAGTTGACCCATAAAAGGGAAGATACCCACGTTTTCCCGAAGAGAAGACTATAACTGACTTCTTTTGCAAACTTTCAGGTAAACCATTCCCTGCTCAAATCAGTGAACTGATTTTCCAGCATTAGGTTTTGAACAAGCTCCCCATCACCTCTGTCCTAAGGAAGTTTCCTTCTGACAGCCATGAGTTCCAGAAAAATCTTCATGCAAAACTAGCACATCCCTGAGCACCTGTGGGAGAATAGCCTATGTACCAGCCAGGATCAGCAGGAGCAGATGGAACACTTGAAAGGGTCCATGAAAAGCGGTTAATGGAGACGCAGAGGTGTGCTTGGGGCTAAGGGAGCCAGCATGATGCAGCACCCACAGCCGACTAACAAGGCGGAGCCCTTACCACCTCTGAGACTGAAGGAGCAAGAGGAGGAAGCTATTACTGCATCTGCAACAGCTGCAGGGACAAGAGCTGGTGCTGTGGGAGAGAAGCCTCCAGACTGAGGTGTGGCCTTAGACCAAGGAGCAAAGCCACTGCCAAAGCAACTGAGCCCAAGCAGTGAGGAGCAGGGATGTCAAAGTCAGATCTATGTCCCTCCTGCCTCACAACCTTCTCCCAGTGGACAAACCCAGCAGGAAGCCAGAGGGCAAAGGAGGCCTAACAATGAAATGCATGGAGATTCGCCTCTGGAGACACAGGGCAGAGCAGAGAGGGCAGAACGTGGCTCAGGAGAAGGAAAGGAAGAATAGGGAACACAGCGATCAGTGCAACAGAGCAGCCCATCCATTCAATCAACAAATACCTATTTCTTCTGGGGTTGGGGAGACACCAGTGAACAAGACAGGTCCCTGTCCTCATGTAGTGTACCATCTAGTCAGGGGCCATTGACAGCAATTGTATAAACAAACACACATGCATTTTTTTTCAGGTAGTGGTAAATGCCAAGAAGGAGAAACACCGTAATGTATGGAGAGTGACTGTGAGCGTTGCTTTAGACAGAGCAGACAGGGGAAGCTTCTTGGAGGAGGTGACATTTAAAGGAAGTTGACCTGGGCTTCCCAGGAAAGCCTACCTTGACTCCACAGCTACTCCCATGTGGCTTGTAGGTAAGCCTCAAAGCCAGTCTGTGATTTAGAGGCAGCAACTGGCCAGTCCCCAAGAAAAGAGACAGGACAGGAGATAAAAATAACAGCAGGTGCTCACATTTACATTTAGTTTGTAACCTTGTCACCCACCCCCTCCTCCCAAAGGCCAAGTGCTAACTCCTTTACATCGCCTCCTCTCCCTGCTGTGGGTACCATCAAGCCCATGGGACACACAAGAATCCCGAAGCTCGGAAGGAATTGGGCTGTTGGTTCTGTGTTCTAACATCCCTGGCCCGGCAGGAACAGCAAAGTGGAAAAGCACATTCTGCTCTTTCTTACTACATCTCAGTCCTATTCCTTTGATGCCCTTTGCAGAGAGCAGACCCATTTTTTTTTTCTCTCTTCCATGGCCGCGCCTGATGGGAGATAGATTCTTCTCCACACACACACCCTCTTCCTTCCAATTAAAAAAAATATTCAAGGCTTTGTCAGGGAGGTGAAATGTGTGTCCCACGAGCTCCAGCCCAGCCTCTGATAATACTGGCATTCAACAGTCCTGCGGTCTGTTTATTCTCTATCTCCCTGCACTCCCCGCTCCTCCTCATCAATTTTAGGCATGTCTCCACTCTTAACTCGGTGGTCTTTGGGTCATTGGTTGAATAGGTAAGATTTCTCAGTCAATAAAGTCAAGGCAGGTTTTCTTCCCCAACACCTCCCTCCAAAGAAAGTGGAATGGGGGTGGGGGCTAGGACCAGGGAGAGGCCTGGCTTGCTAGCGGCGAGGGTCTACATTTTGTATTTCGCTGACAGCCCCAACCCGCTCCAAAGCCTGCCCTATAGCCAATGAGCAGCAGTGATTTATGGGGCTGACTAATGCCGGCTGAATGCGGCCTGTCACAGCGCCCTGAATGGCTTCCCTTTGCCGCACAAGCCCAGGCTTTGTGTTGCTAAGCGATTAGAGCAGATGTAATGAGATTTTGCCCAATCCCTGCTTTGCCCTTTCCTAGCTTCGGCAAAATTGTGTGGGTTTTTTTTTTTTTTGGTGAATTTTTTTCGAGTTTGCCTTCGCATTGTGGCAAACAAGGGCTAACTTTGCCTCAAGTTTAACGAGACTGGATATTTCCCATTCAGAAGTGAGTAAAAGAACACCTGTCTTTAGAAGAAGGGGGGGGACCCCTTTGTGGGGGCTGAAACATTATCCCAATGTTATATTCATAGCAATAAATGACTTGCTACACTTTCTTTGCCTACCTTATCTGAAAAGTTGCAAAGGAGCTAAATTAAAAGGAAAAGAAATGAGGGGGGGAGGAGGGAGGTGGGGAGCCCAGCTCTGGTCCTCCAAAGGAGAAGATAAAAATAAAAGCAAGCATCACAAAAGCATTACTACCCTGAAGTAAGCTCTAAATTGGCCCACTGCTGGCAGAAAGTCCGATTATTTATGGCGATGAGGAATTTACTGATTTTTTCCCCCTTAATTACGCTCATCCCTTTGAAAGGGACCGGAGCCTCAATGTGCATTCTATAGAGGGTCATTTAGCAAAATGACATCAGACGCTGCGGCGTGCTCCGCGCATCGCAGCTTTAAAAAATGATTATTCCGTGCCACTAAACGGTATAGATGTACCAACACAGACTAGATTTTTAACTCTGGAAGACGTGCCGGCTCTCCGCTCTTTGTTGGGTTTTGTAAGACGCATTTTGCGCTTGGCTTTCCGCTTGGCTGGAGACACGCAAACTGAATGTGCAAGTAACGCAGGAGGGGAGCGAGGCGCCGGCGAGAGGCGGAGTGGGATTCCGATCACGTCCTTGCTAACTGACAAGAAGCAAGCCAGCCAAAAACCCCACTAATTTCTTTTTGAATCTTGGTAATTGGGTACTTTTACACGCAGCTCACGCTATTCGGATAGAGTCGCCAGCTTAGATAGGCCAGTGTCTCAAAACGCCCCCACCCCCATTTCTAAGGCGTTTCTTTCTTTAGATGTCATTCCTTCCGCAGGGAATTCATATCATACATGCCCTTTACTTAAGTATGGAAAGCGTGCATCCTGGGCAAAGAAGTGGAAAATGTGCGCCTGGAAGTGAGGGAACAGACACCAGCCACCGGGACTCAGTACCACCATCCTCCCTCCCACACAGAGCACCTATGATCTCATCCAGCCCTTCCACAGTTTCACAATTAGGACCTCAGAATGCGGTTGGTTAAGGGTTAAAAAGTGGGGAGAGGACCCTTTCTTTCCACTTCACTTTTTTGGGGGCATTTTTAAAAATGTAAATCATTTTATCGAAAGACGATGCAATCATCAACCACCACCTATTCTCTGGGTGTGTCCGCAGCATAAAAGGGGAAGAAACCCCCTTTTATCTATATATTTTTCCCTCTGCATTCATCATAGAGCCACCTCAGGTAGGACTGGTCTTAGCTCTTAGCTTTGTCATTTCTTCCAGGCTGCCTGGCATGCACCACCCTCTTCTCCTTCTCCCACCCCTTCCTTTTAAAGTTTCAATACCTTGGACAGAGTAATAGAGGCAAAGAAGACTTTTTCACTTGTATAAAAAGAAAGAAAGGAAGAAAGAAAGAAAAACGTTTTATTACGAAACTAGTTTGTATAAAACAGGGTTATACATGTGGGGTTTTTTTTTTGTAAGTTTGTAATAAAACAGTAAGAAAAAAAAAAGGCAGTGATAGAAATTTCCCAAAAGGCAACCTTTCAAAAGCACTGGCTGCCACTTTGTGTTTGGACAGTAGCTGCATAAACTTTGTTCTGGAACAGTATTTAATAACGTCATTAATACATTAACAAAGTTTCTCTAAAGTAAGACACATTGGTGCTTAAGTACATCCGGTGGCCTTTTGATCTCCCCTATGAGGAGAGTTCATTACAAAAGCCACACAGGGAAAATGGCAGTTGTAGGGTGAGCTACACATCTAAAATATGCAGAGGTAATAGCATTACATGTTAAAGTTTCAAGATATACACATTTTAAACCATTTGTACAAAACTCTATAAATTTTTTTCTCTTTCTCTCTTATGTACAAAAATATCTTAATATATCCCCAAACTGGTTAGGATAGATACAAATAGATTTTTCTTATAATAAAAAAAAATTCACAAAAGATTGGAAGCATCCTATGATGAAAATGGTAGAAAAGATCGTGTGAGGGAGTGGGGTGTGGGGAGGAGGCCCAAGGATGGGGTGTCAGAGGACTGAGTATAGCACAGTTTCGCTGCAGACCGAAGTCCACAGTGTCCTGGGGCCGGGGATACTGAGAGGAAAGACACCAACCCTTGGCTAGAGGGTTAAGAACTGCGCTTTCAAAGACGGCGGGGAGGTGAAGACACCCGAGTAAGCCAGCGCTTCCAGGTCTGCCTGCTAGTGGTGGGTGGGAGTTCCTACAGGGCGTGTGCTGCTCTCTTCCACCAGGAGCTCAATGCCTTTGCACACGAGCAGCGCTTTGCACTTTGACTCTGGTCCTAGTCACTCTTCAAATCTCCGTGAATGATTGGAGTGCAGCGAGACAGTTCTGAGCGCATCCCTGTTTTGTGAGAGCCTTGCTTCGCAGGCCTGCGTCGCTTGGTTGGCGTCGGGGTGGGTTGCCTGCTTTTCTTTTCTTTTTTCTTCTCTTTTTCTTTTTTTCTCCTTTCCAGCATCACCGACGAGAAAGCACTAAAGAGACAGGTTGTGCAGTCACCCTATAACATAAGGAGAAGAAAGGGAGACATTTATGT